CGTTTTAGAATTCAAACACTTAAAAAATAAATTTTATTTTACAAGGAGCCTTATCTTTGCACCTGTAAATGGAAAACCGGCAACACTTGATGTAAGTAAAATAAGGCTATTCATGTACTACATAAAAATTATTGTCTTTACACCAATTGCAGGTGTGCCACACGTGAGACACATTGTCATAATGGATTATTACGTTTACTAGTCCAGATTCACTCCCTACCCTTCTCCACCCAGAAAGGCCCAGAAGACACTTGACTAAGGCATTATGAAGAGCTCTGTGGTTTTATCCTCTGTAGGGCAGATATGATGATGGGAGCTGCTGCTTTGGAATGTCAGTGGGAAAAATAGGATTCTGAAATAATTGAGTCCAGGTGGTGATGCTTATCCCTTGGAGTCAAGGAGGATGCAGTTTCCATGGTAAACCACAGGATGGAGTGGTAGTCAGGGTGCTTTGGCCAGGTGATGACTAGTAGATCATGGGTCTCTAGAAACCAGTAGATGGACATCCTATTAACTGCTGCTTGCCATAAAAAGACAAAAGGATTCTAGGTTCACTGAGCCTAACTCAAGTCACCACAGTGGGATTCACAGTCTCTTATCTAGTTCCCAGACCTAGAGACCCTCAGTCTAGGGGAGACGGGGTCCCTGTGAGAAAGACCACATATGTATATTATGGAAATTTTCCTAAGTCTTCTCTGGAGAGACCTGAAGCAGTTTACCATGGGGACTGTGTAGGGTGGACTGGGGAAGAGAATACCCAGACTTTCTGGAGGTTATTAGGTAGTGGTTCTGAACCCCCAAAGCCTTCATCATTTATAAATTAAAGCTCATAGAAGTCAGACTTGAGGTGGAATCCTGGTCCACGTCTAATGGTGGGTCCAGTGATCTCTCTTGCGGTTGTTTCCCCAGTCCCAGAATGTGTAGTGAGAGTAGATATACCTAACAACTGGCTGAATTACACACTGATTCTGACACCAGTGGGATGAAAGTTATAACGGTGGGCAGGTCCCAGTGGAGGGAAGCTCTTGAAACTGTACTCTGTTCCCCAGCCCTCTCTAAAAGATGGTAAGTCCTGAGGAGGAATGATAGGGATGAGCATTATCAATGAAGGCTTCAGAGATACAGGGAAGGGAAGGTGTCCTACCACATCCCCATTTAACTCACTTGTTTGGCTGATGCAAATGCTAGATGGGTCATGGGGACACAATGGATTACTGCAAAGTCAATCAGGTGGTGATGCCAGTTGTAGCTATAATTCTAGATGTGGTAGCTTTATTGGAAAAAAATCAGCATAGCCCATGGCACCTCGTTTGTAGTTATTGATCTGGCAGATGCTTCCTTTCTATTCCAATTAGTAAGAAAAATCAGAATCAGTTTGCTTTTAAAGGGCAGGGATAATACAATCTTAAACTGTCTTGCCCCAGGTCTGTGTCACCTCTCTTGCAATCTGTCTTAAGATAATCCTGAGGGTCCTTGATCATCTTTATATCCCACAGGAAACCATGCCAGCCCAATACATTGAAGACACAATGCAATAGGTTTTGATTAGCATGAAGTAGCAAGCCAGAGATTGGAAGATAAATACTGCAAACTTCGTAAAAAAGTTCATCAAAAGGGGCTGCTGACATTTCTAGAGGTCAAGTAGCCTGGAGCATGTCAAGATAGCTAAAGTGAAAGGCAAGTTGTGGTAGCTTGTACCACCTTAAAGAAGAGAGAAGCACAGTGCTTCTGGACTTCTCTGTGTTTTGAAGACAACATATACCATATAGTGTATAATTTGAAAGGTTGCTCGTTTTGAGCAGGACCTAGGTCAAGAAAGGGGTACATGCTGTAGCATAAATGTCCCTGTCACATGGGCACTATGACTCAGGGGCCCATGGAAATATTTATGGCTCTATGGGACTTCTGTCAAGTCCTGACAGGAGAGTAAGAGCGCAGAACTTTAAGGGTTTTTTTCTGTGTATGTGTGTGAAAAGAAGTTCTTGCCTTGCTACTGGACCCTAATAGAGACAGTGTGCTGACTTGGGGATGCCAGGTGATTATACTATATGAATTGCCTATCTTGAACTAGGTGGTTTATGATCCACTGAACCATAAAACTGAATGTAAACAGCAGCTTTCTACTGTAAGTGAAAATGACCAGATTTCAGGTCTGGAGGCCTCAAGTAATTTGCCTAAGCAACAGGTTCAGACTTTCACATACTTCCTCTTTATAACTTTAATGCTTTTTCCTCAATCTGCACATTTGGCTTCATGGGGAGTTCCATATGACTGGAATAACCAGATGTCTGAGTTTGCCCTAAATAGTACTGGATTACACCTGTTATCCAACATTCATTCATCATTTGTGACACCACTTTTCACTGTCAAAAGTGTCCCAGTTTGGAGAATCAATTATATGACCACCCTGATCAATTAACGGAGAGGACTGTGTGCCTGGTTCATGAATTTCTGTATTCTGACATTAGCTGGAAGTGCAAAGTTAATACACCACACCCTTACTCAGTGGGCAGAACTTTAAATGGTGTGTCTAATTGTTGATATTGTGTGGAAGGACAGGTGGCCTGAGATACAGATCTGCACTGACTCAGGCTCAGCACTAGATTGGTCAGCTGGTCAAGGATTTGGGAAGAACAAAACTGGGAGATTACTAATAAGGAGGCCTAGAAGGCAGGCTATTTAAGTAGAGTGTCTTAGAATGGGCTATAGTAGGACAATATTTATTTCTCATGTAAATGTGCAGTAAAGGGAAGCCACAGTGGAGGAAATTCTCAATAACTAAGATGGCTCCTCCTGTGGGTGACATTTGGCCTCTTTTTTCCCTAGCCATCTTGGTGTTTGCTCATGGACCAGTGTTTGAAGTGGTTATGGTGGCAGAGATAAGGCTCAACAACTTGGTATCCCTCTTTGTCAAAGTTGATCTATTAACACAATTAAGTGCCCATCCTGCAATAGAAGAGACCAACTTTGATATGATATGTCACTTGATATGGCAACATTCATCAGAGAAATAAGCATGTGTGATCTCATAAATGCATGCTCTGAATTATAAAGGACAAAAGTGCAGTGTGTGGAATGTGAATGGAAAAGCACGCATTTATCACATAATGGGAAAATTCCATTTCTCCATTGCTACTGCTGCTGTTTTGCTAGGTTCTCTTTATGACAAGGATCAGTAGGAAAAGAAGGAAATGACTATGATTCAGCAATTTTATCTGTGCGCTTTATCTCATTTAGTTCTCACAACAACCTTGTGAGGCACATTATGAAAATGAAAACACAGGGCAGAGGGATTAAGTTACTTCCAAAGACTCATAGGTGATTACGTGTGATGTCAAGGTTTGAACCCGTAGCTGTCTATACATCTTTTACAATATTGCTTTTTAGGAGATGGTCTGGAATGCCAAGGTGGGTCTCAGTGGGCATCTGCTGGCTGGCTACTGTGGAGGTCATTCTCTTATCCTCTCACCTTTGCCAGAGTCACTATGGGAGGCAAACCGAATTTTAATCTCCTGCATCTCTCCTTCCGCTCTAGACCACTGAATGAGGGTGAGCAGAGCTCTGCCTGAAGAGAGGGGGACAGTAAGAGGTGACTGCACAGTCCAGTTAAGGCTACTGGAGGGTCCCAGGTCAGGAGGCATCTCAGGGCTCTTTTCCTTGGTTGCATCTCCAAATTCTCCACAGGGACCGCATAGGGGAATCTGAGTTCCATGGAGTCTAAGACCTGGGCTGGGCAGCTTGGGAGGAGGTGGAGTGAATGGGAGGCTACTCTTTAGGAGTGAGGCTACTTTTCATATGTGGCCTTGGAACCTCTTAATTTAGGCAGATAGCTCTGTCTGATACATACCTAGTTTTGATGACAAGTAACCATTATTTTCTGAGTCTCCTTTTTTCACATTATACTTCACAGAAATGAGCTAATTCTCACATGGTGCCCACATGACTCTTCTTGTGCTTCTTCCTCTTGGAGGCCTCATTCTGCAGATGCTTTCAGTTCCATTCTGAGAAACAAGTCCCTCTCTGCCCCTCCAGTAGCCCTAGTCTTAGGCTGGGTTATGTGCCTCTTTTCTGTGGCTCCAGGGGCACCCTGTGCTTGTCCTTGTCATAGCACTTTTCGCTTGTGCAGGGGGTTTGGGAGCATCTGTTTTACAGTGCTGTTGAATACACGAAAAGTACTTGAGCTTGGCCTACAGTGGCTGTTTTCTTATTATTGTGGTTGTTGGTCTACTTGTCAATCATCCCCATTGTAAGCTCTGAGGGTAGGGGCTGTGTCCCTGTTCCCTAGCACAGTGCCTAGGACGTCAGTCGATACTCAATAAACTTTTCAGGAAAGAAAAATGAGTTGAATAAAATGGGATAAAGAGTAGCAATGGCAGGGGATGAGCATGCTTTTCTTAATCATTTAAATATATGTAAATAATAAGCATATAATTCCTGATGATCTTTAGTGAGAAAAATTCTTTATTTAAAATAAGCTAGATGTTTTTACTAGATTAAATAAAATACTCTACAAATGAGAATTTTAAATCCAATATACTATACCCAGTAATATCAGTCAGAGATTATCCACTAATCCCTGTTTAATAATGCTTGAATGAAATAACATAATTCTGAGAACATGTGCCTTTGCTTAGAGAAAAATTTCCAAAGCAGTGTCACATTTCTTGGATATAACAGTGTCATGCTAGTAAGAGAAATTCTATAATGCCAAATACAGCTAGAAACAGTGATTTTCAAATGCAGAGACCCTTAGACTTGCTCTGATGTTATTAGTTGTATTTCTAAATCACAGAGACAGGCAACATATTTTATTTCAATAAAAGAGTAAAAGCAAGAAGGGGACCTACACTATTTCTAGCCACTTGTGTTTATTAATATATGCTTAGCGCTTTTAATGCCTTTGCTGCAGAAGGGTGATAACTGTTTTTGCAAAAAGATAGACTATGGGGACAAAGCTGGGAAGCTTGTGCATACAGGAAGTAGCCAATAACTCAATGCTCTCAGGGCTCTTGAAAATGCCACGCATCATACTTATTCTGGGGCTGCTGGGCCTTGTTTCCTGACATCGATGTCTGTAGACTATCTGGGGTTGCCGTGGAATCCACAGTTGTCTCTTCCTGGAGACCCATGGTTGTGGTCTCATCAACACCGTATGTCTCATAAACGTCAGCTAATCCAGGAGTCATCAGTGGGTCAGCAGCCGCTGGGGTGACCCTGAATGGTCCCCTGATTCTTGCCAGGTTGGGAACATTGTCCTTAGCACTAGCAAGGAGCCCTCCGAGGGCACCAGGTGCTACCTCTGAAAGGAGAGCTGGGTTTTCTGGATCGTCTGGGTTGGTCTCTGGCACAGGGGAGCCTTGTGCACCTCCTTCTCCCTTCTCGGGACCTTTGGTTCCAGCGACTGGGGAGTCAAATTCCAGTGTAAAATCCCCTCCCATAGCTGGATTGGTGGGCATCCCTCCAAGGTTGGACCTCATGCCTCTAAATCCTGGGAACATGGACCCATAAGCCATGGGGCCTCCTCTGCCTCCCTGTAAAAAACAATTTACCAGAAACACCATTATCACATACCATTAAGTATAGCATGCAATTATACCTGGTCAAATTCACTGAGAAACCAGAAAAAAACTGATAGGAAACAGGGAGTTGGCTGACAGTTTTATGTAAGCATTTTCTCACTAAACTGACTTCTTTTCTGGGTCAGGGCACTCACTTCTTTGAAAGGGAGATGAAGACCCTCTCAATGCCTGCTGAAGGGTGGGAAGGAGAGAAGCAGGGAAACAGGGTAGAACCAACTTACAGGCAAAAGGTAGTTCAAATTTAATTTTAAGAAAACAATAAGTAGCTGAAATGACCAATACCACCATAAAACATACAAAAACTGATCCATTCTTGTTTGTTGAGCAAAGTTTTGGAGGACCTTGTGTCAATATCATTTCTCAGTATCCCCCAAATGAATGGAGCCCCATGTAAACTTTTTTTCTTTTTCATTTTCTTTTCTTTTTTTCCTTCCTCCCTTCCTCCCTTTCCTCTCTGTCTCTCTCTCACTTTCTTTCTTTCTTTCAGAAGAACATGTAGAAGAATAAAACTTGATTTCTTTGGAGGAACTGAAATATTTTCTTCCTGTGGACAGATAAAATTCTAGAACTGACCATGTTTCCTTTTTTTCTTTTGTTGCCCAAAATTTCAGGACCCAAATCTTGGGGTACTTACAGCAATTATGCAGGGCCTTGTAACTTGGGTATCTATATTCTTATTTCCTTAAACTTTTGACTCATTTTAAATTCTGTCTTCAATTTTTTGGTTATATTTATTGTATTTTTCATAAGCTACAGCAAAATCTTTTAACAATGAGGCATAATATAAATAAGTTAATTAAAATTATAAGATGATCATTAACACTTGCTTGAATTTTCAGCCTGTTTTGTTGGTGTTACACAGAGTCAGTAGTCTTTCCTCTTTCCTTCTCCTGGCTCTCTACTCTTAGCTTTTCGCATCATCCAGGGATGGCACTGTAAACCCCTGGGCTGGGCTAGCTGCCTCTCTCCTTTCCCTCTCTTATAGCTCTATTATCATTGTCACATGATTTTCACATTATCTGCCCTTGTATCTATTTTCCCCATTGATTAAACTGTGAACTCTCTGAGATCAGGAACCTTACCTTATTTATCTTGCCTCCATAGGATCTTTTTTATTTGTCTCACTCACAGAAGGCACTCAATAATGCTGAGATTCAAGTTTTATTTCAGTGATAGCATATTTATGTGTATTTATTTATTTGATAGGATCTGTAGTTGCTAATGATTTGTTAATTCAGTATGGTCTGGTTTTGTTTTGCTTTGTGCTCTAACAGATGTCACATGTAGAAATTTCTGAGGGAAAAAGTCCAGTTGTGTGAGTTTATTGAGCTCAAATTTTAAAGTTATAATATGCATGGATAATGATAACAGAATAGGAATATACTTGAACTAACTTATTAATCTACTTTGAATTTTATAATAATCAAATTTTAAACTTGGTTAATTTTTTTTTCTTTTTGATTTCTCAGTTTTGAGGCCTAAGTGATTTGCAGTTTTGTTGAATTTGTTGTTTTGAGGGGTGAAATGGTCTGAGAAAGAACCGGAACTCTATGAACCACGTGTATCTTTTTTTGGTTTGAAACGTTTGTTCAATAATGGTGGCTTTTCAAGAGAGGTTTCTCCTCTACTCGTATTCAAGAAATGGGGCAAAATCCTATGTGCAAGAATGGTCATCACTCAGAAACACCTACATGGGAAGTATGATGAAATCTTGGCGTGCTGCTTCAGAATCAAGCTTTTGGTTTTGGTGTAGAACAACCTGAGTCCCTATACTGTATATTCAGCCACATTCATGGCCAGTGCCTCTTGCTGCCAGTCATCTGTGATTTTTCCCTTGGCCACTACTTTAAGAAGAGTTGGAAGACATTACTCACCGCCATTTCTTCTGAGCTCAAGATGCCAAGTCTGGCAGGAGCACTCTGTTTAAAAAGAAACACTGCATCATATTATGAACCAGCTGACTCTTTATCATCTTGTAGCAACTCAAGACAAAGTTACAAGTCATCTAGTCGTTCCTTAATCCTTAATATAAAGGCTGTGTCCAGAGGCAGGATAAAATGGACAGATGAGTCATTATTAAGGAAATGTAGCCAATTTGGATAATTCAGATAGAAAATTTACTTTTTCTTTAATGCTACTCTGTGTGTGTGTGTGTGTGTGTGTGTCTGGCCAGAATTATCCAACTAGGAAGTATGCCTCTTTGGCATTTCAGTTGCAAACTTAGGCATTCAGAGAATATGGAATCTGTTATGTGAGGACTGGATCTTATAATTTTATCTCTTAAGATAGCATTTATTTGAAAATAATACCTTTTATAGGATATAGACTTACCAATTGATTTGCTCCATAGGACAAGTAAAACATTCCTGGATAAAGCTAAATATAAATACAAAAATCAACACAAAATGCATTTCCCAAGAGAAAAACTTTAAATTAAATTACAAACAGAGAAGTGGTATTAAAACAAACTTACTGGAGATGGTTTATTTTGTGGCATTGGTCCCCGAGATAGCAAACGGGATATTGGAACCAACATCTTTAAGTGGTAGAAAACAGAATAAGTAATTCATATTTGCTATAACACAGGCAAACCTCCCATTACAACTATTTCTGAGAGTTATATGAAGCACATTTCCAGATGGAATACTATGATAAACAAGTGTTTAATATCTAAGTAAACAAAGGAACCCACTATATTTCATACTCACAGATAAGTGGGACAATTAAAAAGTTTTACTCTTCTTTCCCAAAGTATAGAGATATATCTCCCAAGGAAGTGTCTTACTGAGATTTGTACTTACTGGTAGATCTTGTGGATCAGCAAAATCCATTCCTGGTAGCTGCATTACAGATCAATATTAAAATTACTCAACAATCAAAATAGGCAAAATGAGTTGAAAAACACTCTTATTTACAATTATGATAGTTTAAAATGAGTTTCCCTATTTTCACTTTCATTTAGTCTTGGAGAGTACAACCTAAGAGATTACAATTGCCCTTTACTGACATGACTCACATGCATGGCAGGGAGATGGGGCATGTCTGTCACGAGTTTGCTTTATCTTGCAGAGTAGAAAGCAATGAATTTTGGAATCAGAGCATGCCAGGTTGGTTTGAATTCTGGCTCTGCCACTTAATTTTTGTGTAATATGGGGGACATATTATAGTCTCTCAAAATCTGTCTTTTCTTTTAAAAAAAGGATAATATCTCTCTTCATAGAGTTGGAGTTAGGATGATACGGCGGAATGTTAAATGCCTGCAACATACTAGTTTCATGGTACCTTCCTTTTCTGTCCATTGCTCTTTTCTTTATATTATTACAAGATACTTTTGCTTGATTGCCTTCTTTACTACCAGATAGAGAAATAATAATGCAGTAATACTGCTTGCAATGCTGAGGGATCAATCACTCTTGTCAGTCTGCCCAACACTGAAAAACAGCCTGATGAGATGAAGTCTGGAGTTCTCTGGGCTGTCCTATTTCCTCTGAAAGCTTCCTCGTTTATCTTTTGCAACTGAGAAACCAGTTTTGCAGGAACAGGATCTTTAAGAATCCATGCCCCATTTCAGATGGCAAAGGACAGGGATGTGTATTTATGTTCTACTCCCAGATATGTCAACTGCTTAAAAACATGTTTGTATTTTTGTGCATTATGCCCCAAATTCTGATTATTTAAATGTGCACTGCCAATTGGTTTTCTTTCATTAAGTTAGTAGATGATCCTGATCTGACTTCAGAGAAAGGAATTACCTCGGCCGTTGGTGGCTTTTCTGATGGTGCCACCTGCTCTTGCACCATTGGCCCCTCAACTTGCTGCAAGGGTGGATGTCCCTGGTAAACCGGAGGCTGAGGTAGTCCCTTCTGGACTGAGTTCTGGATGGCGGTTACAACAGTGGGCTGGAGGAAAGGTTTCTGTCCTGGCTGTTGAGGCTGCAGGGATGGCTGCGATGGGAGAGGTGGGGGATGCACAGGCAAAGAATATTCATACTGCAGAGAAATTTGAAAGGAGCGTCAGGAAGCCATGGCTCACTGAACTGTGATGTCTAGAATTTCTAAAGCAAAAGGGCCTGGGGAGCTTTCTACTTGGAAGAGAGTCTAGTGGACTTGTCTTGAAGCTGTGTTACACAGGAAGCACTGATTCATTTAAAGTCAGTGTTATTTGGGGTGATCTGGTGGGTGTCTGCCTCCTCCACTTCCTACTCCCTTTGGGACTGACTACCACTGCTCATGATGATGGGAAGCTCTAGGAACTTCCGAGTAGAATGAATCGTTTCCTTCTCTGGATTCCCATAGCTATCTCTATGTATCTCTATTTTACCACTTTCTCACTGGATTACAATTATTTGTTATAAATCTTTGTCGCTCACTCAACTGAGAGAGAATAATATGCCTTATTTATTTTTATAGCCCCAGGACTTAACATAGCCCCTAATAAGTGCTTGGCACATGATAGATAATACATATATTTTTTGAGTTGATGAAAGGAGAAAGCATAATTAAATAAAATACCAATCAAATTCCTGCTTCATGTATTCCTTTCAGAAGCAATCAAGTGGAGAAACCATCACTATTAACATAATTTACTGTCCCACTAAATGTGGCTTGGTGAGTAATGCTGCTTGGTTTTGAAGAGCATCTGGAATCAAAAGTTCCTGTTAAAACAATCATGTTCTGTTGCTCCTCTTTGAAATTACCTATTGTGAATGGCTCCCTATTATTTTTAAATTGGTTGCAAGCTCCTCAAAGTGGCTCAGAAACCTCACAACAATCTGGCTCTGCTTCACCTCTTCAACCACTGCCCATCTCTAAACTTCTGGGCTTTCATTAACTTGTACCTGATTCATTACTTAGACCTCACTACTTAGCACCCTGTAATGTGTTGTCTTATTCTCTAATCAGATGTGGGATTTCATAAGCCTGCCTTGGAGACATTCTTAAATGCCTTCACTTTCACTCCCAAACTGCAGTTTGGTTTATATATTTATTACACACCTAATAAATAATGGTTAAATGATTGATGTATTTATTAATTGCTATAGGGTTCATAATATTTCAACTAGGATATTGGCATCATTTTAAATGTCTTTGAGTAATTATTTAAGGAATCTTGACTAAAATCAGAATTTTCCAGGATATAGCCTGCTTTCATTTTGAGGATAGTTTATCTATTGTTATTATTTAGCATAAGTGTCTTATATTTTTGAGGTCATATCTTCCTATTGGAAATAAGTATACAAATGGTTGAAAATTTGGACCATTTTATTTAAATTTTTCTAAGTACTAAAAACAGTTGTAGGTTTTGATTTATTGTTATTTGGATGATTTTTCATTCATTACTTTTACCTGTCTGTGGTTAATATATGATAGCTTAGAGAAGGCAAATAGGGGAATAGTTTAAAGCTTGAGGTTTCAGACACATTGATGCAATTAACTTACCTGTTGAGTTTCATGTTCCCTTGGTCTCATCCATGGGAAAGAGGAGTGTGGTGGGAGGAGACCATGCATCCACAAAGAATTAAATGATTTCCCAAAGCCAAATCTTGAATACTGAAGATACGGAGAAAAAAAATATGCGTATATTTCAGTTGTCTTAAACTTGGTTTCCATTTTCTAAAAAAATCCACAGGAGATGTAGAAATAGCAAAAGTAAGAGTGATATTGATTAATTTAATGTGGATAGGTTAAGTCTTCCAACAGACTTTCCATTCTGAGCCAGTTTGCAGTATTCCCATAAACTTGTTTGAGATTTAGTTTTTTAAACATTCATATTGTGGACTGTATAATAAAATTGATAATGCAAGAAAGAATTTTTTTCTTACTAAAGAAAATACAACATTATTTTTGTTTTCTCCTGCCATCCCACCCCAGGGCCTTATTTTGTTTTAGGTTACCTCAATTACTTGTTTGCTCTTTTAGGGGGAAGGGTATAGCTCAAGTGGTAGAGTGCATGCTTAGCCCCTAAGAGGTCCTAGGTTCAATCCCCAGTACCACTTCCAAGTGGAAATCAGTGAAGAAGCCTAATTATTTCCCCCTCAGAAAACAAATACAAACTTATTTGCTCTTTTAGTTTTTAGGATATTGTTTGTTCACAAACAAATTGTATGAATTACAATGCTGCTGCTATCACTATCGCCACCATCATGAATATTTGCAATAAGAAACATGTGAAAACGTTACCTGAGAAAGCAAGTTTAATCCCTGCAAACTTCCCAGCTGTCTCATTGTCTATGAAGAAAAAAAAAGTGGATTAGTGTTTGCCACATATGTTCCTTTTTTGTATGACACAATTGATTTCTCAACATATGGTAGTATTAGCACAAAGTTTGGGGTCAATAAAAATAAAATAATAAGAGACACAACTCATCACTGAAAGTGGAAATGTTAAGTGTGGTTCTGCCATTGTTGTCACCATTGCTATTAAAATAGTGAGCTCACTTTTTATCATTAATTAAAAGAGAGAAAATATCATTTAAGTGGAAGTCATATTGAAACATGGAAAAATAGCTAATTCAGCTGAAATATCAATGTAATCACGAGGACATTGTCTTATTGACTCTTTTTTCCCCTCATATAACTTCCTTTGCCTTTTACCAATCCAGCCCGAAGAGGAATTTGAAAAGAACAAGCAAACAAACCAAAATAAATCAGAACAAAACAACTCTGCCTCCTTCCCAAATGAAAAAAGCCCTCAAAATAATAAATATAAAAAGCACTGAGGAAAATGGTAAGTATCTGGATAGATGGCCAGGAATGCTGCCAATTCAACAGAAAGTCACTTTCACTCTTCTTAGGAAAAGGTTTAGAGTGCTTTGAGTTGAGTTTGAGCTAGAAAGTAAGAAAAAAAAAACTCAGTGAAATTAGCTTCCATGTGAAATAAGCAGCTAGCACATACAAGTATCGATTGCCCTCAGATTGTCATGATATAGGTAAATCTGCAAGGCTTTGTGAAAAATTTCTAATCTCAAAATTACTTTTCTATTCATGAATGTTTATATTTTCTACTGATATAGTCAAACATTTCTATTTTGCTGGGATTTTCTAAACAAAGTGTGTGTTAGTTATAAGAACTGCAATAAGACAAACAGCAGCTGTACAGCATAGTACAATGTCAGTGCTATTTACAGTCCTCATAAACAATTACATTTTCTTAAGATAAATTTTCCTCATGACAACTTTATCATATACCAGCAGGAAAAGAAACTAAGTGTAAACCATTTGTGACTTCAGAACAATGTGTTTTCAATGTATTTACACTATTATTAGGCATTAAATATTAGTATTGTTTTGATTCACATACAGATGATGTTCTAAAGATTAAAACACCTGAAAGTTTAACATTGCAGTAAAATTATAAGATGAAGCTCTAATAAATGTCATAAACTTCCCTAGAGCTTTACAGGAAGGAGGACAGCCACTGACTTCTGGCTAGGAATACTGAAAAACAATCCATGTATTTCTCTCGTATCAGGAACATACCAATGTAAAGATTATATGTAGATACTCTGAAAATACATACCTCAAGGCTCAAACTAGCCATGCCTGGTGTCCCAGGTTGCTGAGGAAACGCCTGAATGGAAATAAGAATAATTTTGTGTTCTTTGGTCAGAAACTCCCTTACACAGTGAAAACAGAAAGCTACACCAGTACATAAGGGCAAGCTAATGTTGGTTTATTACCCAAATGACTTGAGCTTTTGGGTAGAATGAAGAACTTAAGTTGTTTGTGATATTAACATAACATTGAATAATTTTGCTCCTACGTGAATCCTTTACCCTTTGTCTACATCCTAATGCTATGTTGCTTAAAAAGCAAAATTTGAGTTGGTTTGAAAGTTACATTAAAAACAGATGAAAAGCGGAATAAAGCAACAAAATAGAAAACTAACAACTAAACTTAAATATTATCAGATAGAAAAGCAAAGGAAACAAACTTGAGCTCAATTTTCTTGTGTGTTTGACAAACCTATGAACTCTGGTTTGTGGAATGTGGGATGGGATCATGGCATTTGGCAAAACCATGTACAAAAACCTAACTTGCCTCGCATTCACAGGACTTTTAACAAATCCTCCATCATCTTTAGTGAGAGATTAGTTTATGTGTAAACCTGTTGATCTGTGTTTATATTTTTCGGATCATATCAAAAAAGTATTTTTTCTTAAATAAAAGACATTCTAGCACCAAGTACTATTACACTTAATGTATTCACTTAAAAGTTGTGAAAAATATAGCTACATTTACATCTAGGCTTTTAAAGTGTAAGATATTTTCTTTTCTAAGCCAAGCCTTATTAATATGCATGAATAAAAATGGGGAAAAAACTGGAGAATGGAAGAGAAGAGTAACAGAGTGAATTTGATTTTGACGGTTTTTGGTTCTTTGGATATTCTTACTATCTAGGGTCAAGGAATTTTAATGCCTTTCTTCCTTCATTTAAACCACAAATATGTATAGAGTCTCCACTAAATATATTTGGATTATTTTTCCCTTGTGAGCAAGATGTTCAGAAATATTTTCCTGAGAATATATTATCTGCCTCCACCTCCTACTTTTTATATAGGTAAAATCCTGTCCTCTGAGTCGTAGTGCAAATTTCGCCAAGTAATTCAGTTTTGCAAATGGATAAAGGGAAAGAAGTTATAAATGTGTAGCAAATACTCCAAGTAGAGAAAAAGGTTAGCTGTGTAGACAAAAAGAGTGAGAGGGGTGTGTGTATGTGTGTGTGTGTGTGTGTGTGTGTGAGATGAGCAAATTGTTCAGAATTTAAGGGAATATGAGAGTAGACCCTTCTTTCCTCCTATCGGCCAGTGCATAATAAGGTAATCTGGACAGATTCAACTACAAGACAAACGTGCACTTTGCTTTTTATTTGATCCAAGTCATGAATTAATGAACAATATTTACATGAATGTATGTAGACAGAGGATACCTTTCCCATGAGGAAGTGAAAGGAGAAATCTGATTTGGCAGACATTTGGCAGTCCTAAGCAACTATCCTCTTCCTCAGAGTGGAACTGACTGACACAGGTGTGGGTCATTATAGGTTCCAAGAATGTCAAGGTGTTAGATTGATGGTGGATGGTTGAGGGGACTCCAATGTCAATATCATACAAAGGTAAGCTCAGGTGGCAGTTTCAATTTTTTTTTCATTTACAAGTCATGTTGAATAATGGAACAGAAACTCTTTTTATCTGTAGAATGCAGGGTTTTCATCCTCATAGTCAGTTTTCTTCCCCCCTTTTAAAACATTTTAAGAAACCCAAATAGCTAATCCTTTGTCTTAAGGTACTTAAATCTTTTAAAGTTCATTTGAGGCCACCTATGAGCTCCTGAAGATAAGAGACCATGTCACATTGATTGTCTTGTCTCCAGTGCCAGCATGTTTCTGGATACATGACAGGTACTCAGTCAATATTTGCCAAAAGCATATAGTGGCTGAATAAAGTCTTCCTGTAAACAGAATCACATGCTACTGGCTGAAGTAGTTCAGTGCTCAAAGGATTGTGCTTGTATGCAATCACCTCAATAGGTGATAGAGTAGACCAGGGGTGGGACTGTAACATACAGTTAGCGCCACTGCCATGACATATTCTGATTTAAGAAACTTCACTCTCAGTCACATAATTTCTCCCCATCAGGCAAATTCGTTGCTTAATTACTAGCTTCAAATAGAATCACTTAGCTCAGTTTTGTAATCATAGTAATTTGGCTAATATTGTTCTTTTGGAAATGAAGAAGAAAATGTACTTTACTCTTTTGGAGAAATTTCCTTTTTCTGTTTTGATTTCATAATGGTAGCAGGTAGTTGATAATAAATTTGTGCTGTGGCATTGTTGGAAAACACATACATCTTATACCTCTGAATGGAATAAGACTTAGAAGTTGTCTTTGGAATATTTAAAGTATCTTTTTGAATAGGAAAATTATATATTTAACTTATTGCTTTTGGATGGTCAGGGCTGACATCTGGGCAACTGTGACTTTTAACTCAGAAGGAAGACACCACTGGATTAATCCAGATGAATCATGTATGGACACTCAGCTGTGTCCTTCAGTTTGATGTCTGGGCAATATTTCTCCGAGGGCACCCTCTAGAACACTGACTTACCGGCACTGCAGAACTCATTTTCAGGAGGCACAGGATCAGTATCATGTCCTTCATTTTGAAAAGTGGTATCTGAAACAGAGTTGGATTGGAGAATTAAATCAGAGGAGTTTTTACATCAGAATGGTTAAAAGACAATATTTTCCTGAGCCAAGTCTCTGCTCTTCCAAAATGACTAGGTTCAAAACAAAATCAAAACCAAAAAACCAACTAAATGTTGCTAAACAGATGATTTTTATTTACTAGTTTTTGGAATAAATTGACAAGCAATTAAAATTTTTCTAAGTACTCTGATTTTTTTACAGAGGTACCACCCAGATGAACATGTGGGAACACCTCCATGAATATTCTTAAATGCTGTGTTTAATTTCAGAAAATAAATTATAAATTTGAAAATCCCTTTCACTGTGTGAAATTTTGGTCTATTAAGTATGATTCACAGGATTTTATACCTTGTTTCCCTCCAGAGTAAATTTTGAAATGCATTTTAAATGTAATACAACCAATAATCATTTCATAACAAACCTTTATGTGCAGATATAAAGGGTATACCATTCCATGTTTAGGTTATTCAGAAAACGATGCCAAAAATTATCTTTTTAAAATAAAAATGAGCTAGATATTTTAATTTCCTTTGATATTAGTGGACAATATATCTCAAAATTGAGTTTTCCTCTTTCTAAAATAAATTATCTCTTTAAGTTTATTCTAAAAGTTCAAACGACTACTCTCACATGAACAGAATTCTGACTAGTCAGAGATTTACTTACTTTTCTCAATTATTAGTGCTGTCACCAATCACAAATAGTAAAAAAAAAATTTATAGAAAAGTCTTTTTTTTTCTTAGCTGGAAGGATATTAGGCATGTCTTCTCTGGAACATGCTAATAATGGTTTACAATAGGCTATTATTCTGCTTCTGGTGACAAGTGAAGATAAATCCTCTTTATAAATGCTGCCTGGAGATAGGAAAAAAGAACTTACAGGAATCACATGGAAATCATAAAATCACATTTTACCTTCAATGCTGGCATGCACTGTGCTCTCAGGGCCTGGTGATGCCAACCAAGATAGTTCTAAGAAAAGAAGTTTAAAATTTTTTTCTGGACTGTGCCGGGGGACTCACTCTGTATCTCTCATCCAGGGAAGACCTGAAACCTTTATTTAAAGTGCCAATCCACCAATCAAAGTGAAGCTAAGTGGGGGAAAAAAACACAACCACTCTGCTCCTGCAATTAGTCTACACCCTTTTATTTCATGCAAGGACATTGGCCCAGTAGAGTCTCATTATTTTTAATTGTAACTCAACCCCTGTATTTATTCAGAGAACTTGATTGCAGGCAAGACAGTGAAGGAATAGTGGACATAAACTCTGAAGACAATTATTTTGGTGAGCTGGGAGAAATATCTGTAGAATAGGTGCAAAATAAACCATCATCTGCTTTGTGCAGGTTTTTATCTTTCAGTAAAGCTAATGACCCGTGCCAGTATTCTCAAGATTTTCACCTCATACTTGTTGTGGTAAAAGTAACTCTGCTCCCTTCCGCCAGCATACAGACAGTCTAGAAGGAAACACTAAAATGACTTCCTGGGCTTGGAAGAGAGGATGAAGATACTAGATGAGTAATAAATATGTTATAATCTTTCCTTAGAATTTCCCAGATACTTTTGTATCTGGAGACAATATACTAGAGATAGCCAAACTTCTGCAAGAAATTTCAATAGGACCCTCTGAATGAATCACCTCAGGTAAACCTTTAGTGCATGTTCTTTGGTGGGGAGAGGTACATACATCAGAACATTCTCCATGAACCAGTCAAGTCAGTGTGCACTACTGTCAGTTCACTCTTTAGATAGAACAATTTCCAGGCATTTAGTATGAAGCCAGGTTAGAGAGTGACATTTGTGTCACTTTAAAGGCTGCTATCAACATGAATGGGATTTTCTCTCTGAACAGTTAAGAATATCTTGGATATGGATTGACCTTTGGCAGCTTTTGTTATTTCTCTGCCCCTCCTTGTCTTTCCAAAGGTGTGATTTCAGATGTGGTAGGGGTAAGAGTTTAAGATTAGTTTCTTAAGAAGGGATGAGTCAGTATGCTCTTTAGGGAAGTAGAGGTCTTGTCAATTACAGGGAACATCGAGGAAGCTGGTATTTTGGGAGAAAGTTTTCTTCATACCTAACAGTTTATAATGATATCCAAGAAGCTGTCCAAGAAAAAATGCATTTCCCATTGATAAGAGAATTATTTTTAGGAGGCAAAGAAATAAAGTATGTGAATGTGTTTTGTAAATAGCAAAATGTTATTGAAATTAAAAGTATTATTTTTGGCCTCTCTCTCTCTTTATTCTGGCTCTGGTGCTTGGCTAAGTCCCTTAATCTCTCTGAGCTTCCATTTCTTCCTCTGTAATATAAGGGTAAGAATTACTACCTACCATAGACTTGTTTTGAAGATTTGGTGTGATGATGAAGATGCAGCAGCTCTGTACAGTGGGTGTGCAATAAATGGGTTGATAGTTCTTTGTGTGGGAGAAACCACATGAAACATGGGACCACAAAGACACTGTGTGTGCAGGTGTGACTGTGTGTGCAGGTGTGTCTGTGTGTGTGTTACAGGAGGAAGAGTACTGGCAGTTAGGTCCACGATCTCCAAGGAGGGTAGAGGAGGGATCTGATGGAAGGCATTTCCTCTAAATGGAAGTTGTTGCTGAATCTATGGGGTTAAGCTTCTTAGTTGACAGCTGAACAGAGAAATGGGAAGTGCGTGTATATGTCTTTTATGGCTTATGAGCATGATCATGACATGCTAATAATGATATTTTGTAGGATTCATATGTTCTGCCTTTCTCTTAAGCCAAATATCCAGTATGTCATAAGTCATGTTGCTTCTACCTTTTTTGAAATGTCCTTCACACTCAGTCTTGGCATTACTGTCTTCCAGGTGTTTACCAATTAGTTTCTTTTGCCTTCAATTTCCTGCATACCAACACCAAACTTATCTTCCTAAAATATTGATTTTAGCATTTCACTGCCCCACTCAAAAACTTTTTTAAGGATCCCTGAGGCGCTAAGGTAAAATTCACCCTCTGGAACCAGACAGTCAAATTAACATTTTAATTCACTTTTCTAATCATACCTCCCACTTTATGTGAAACACTATATATTGATACAATAATAATGATTGTTGTAATCAGTTGAAGTTGGTTGTTTTTTTTGGTTTATGTTATTGAGAAAGTAAATATAATCCTATGAAAATGTTTTAATTACAAAAAAATCTAGAAATCAGTGTGAGTACATGAGTGTTTCTGATAGTGATTATCGATGTTAAAGAAGTTACTGCAGCTGAAGGAAACTATGTTATGTTGATCAATACTATACCTATGTTAAGAACAACCAGAGCCCCAATTAAGAAGCTCTGTGTTCAAAGTACAGCAAAAGTAAAAAAGCCCCTTAGAATAATAGAAGATCTAAGACACCTGTGGGGACATATGCCACAGAAAAGTTATAAAGAAAAATCTAGAAAAAGTAGCCCCTGTAGATGTTAGTACAGTTGGTGAGGGCACAGCTGTTTAAATCTCCTCTGTGACACTGATCATGTGACACTGGGTGAGCTACTCAACTTGAATATATATAGTATTTTCCCACAGTAACTTCATCTGTAAAATGGAGGCTACCATAAGACAGTATTAATTTCATTTAATTTAAATAGAATACTGAACATAAAGTTCTCAGCACACTATCTGATATAATGAAAATGTTCAATGACCATGAGTTATTATTATTCTTGAAATAAAGAGACATTAATATGGAAAGTCTACTTCATATTTGACTATGAGCCTTGGCTGTGGCTATTCCAGCCACCAGTGGGAACTGTAACAACTAACTAAAATGTGTAGGGATGTTCTGTATGTGACAAAACACAAACTCTAATTTTTACTTTGTTTTGACACATTGTCCTTTCAACAGAATTGTTAAGTCACTCTCTCCAGAACATGCCGTGGTTTTTCTCTTCCAGGGTTTTAGGTGAACCTTTCTCTTTGCCTAGACTCTTTTCTTACCTCTTCACAACTCATTTTTAAAGTTCTATTCAAATTTTGCCTCTTCTGTGACTCCTTCCCCCCTACTCCATTCCTCTGTGATTTTTCCTTCTCTGAATTCCAAATATTTGTCAGTAATTTGGCAATCATTCATACATCACATGGTGACAGATTGCTTGTTATAATCTTTCATGTTTCACTTGCATGCAGTCCTCTAAATTTAGGGATATGGTTTTCATGTCTTTTCAGCCATGTAAAACATTCCTGCAAGAACAGAAATCATCCCTTCTCCTGTGCTGCATCCTTTGGTTCTGTGCACATTATCATAGGTAATACTTGGATAGTATTTCCTGTGGGAAGGCATTATTTTAGTGTTTTACAATGTATTAATTTATTTAATCCTCACAAGAACTTTATGAAGAAGACACCAGTCTCCCCCTTCTACACATGATGAAACTGATCTATAGAGAGGTGAAGTAAATTGCCTGAAGTGACAAGTAAGCGGCGGAACCAGAATTTAGATACAGGCATGTTACTCTTATGCACTATGCCAAAATAAATCAGTCATCCAATGGCAGACGACACTGACCAGATAGAGAGAAGTACAGCATAACACACCTGTCTGTAGGGAATTTATCAGCTACTTACTCAAAGGAGAGAGATACCTCCAGATAGCTAGTGAAACATACAACAAAACAACAATGATTTAACTGAAAAGCACATACAATATCAAAATGCATAATCCCACAGGGATTAACTGCTAAAATAAGTAAACTATAGAACAGGGATTCTCAACCAGGGATAATTTTATGCCCCTCAGCACCCCAGGGAACATTAAAAAACGTCTTGAGTGATATGGGAATATCTCTGATTGTCACAATTTCAGGGTGGGGAATGGAGGAGGAAGGATTTCCTATTACCATCTAGTGAGTAGAGGCCAGAGATGCTGCTAAATATTCTACAATGCACAGGACAGGCCTCTCCCCTTTCATCAAAAAAATTATCAAGCTCCAGAAGCCAATAGTGGCAAGGTTGGGAAACTGCAGTCGAAGAATGCTATAAAATTTCTGAGGTTGAAGAAATACTTTGGGGCTTTGGAGTCAGGTATGAGGAGAATAGGTTTATGCTGAGCCCTTAAAGAAGGATGAGATTTTACAAGATGCTGGTGACTGAGTGGACTGATAACTATTAAGTTTTCTAGGAAAATAATCTGATAGAGTGTCATGCATTAAGCTTTAGGGAAAGGGAAAAGGGCAGAGAGTATGATCATATCAGGGAAGGCCAATTTTTAAAGCTGATTTTGTGTTAGAATAATAAAAGCAATAATAAAGGTTTCATGGATCTTATACTAAAGTATCTGATATTAATAGCATATTTTTAGTGATCACTTACCATGCACCAGATGCTGTGCTTAATAGTCCTTCATTCATCTTTATGAACCACCTCATGAGATAAGTACTATGAAAACTGAGCTTTAGAAAGGGTACTATGTCCTTCAGAGTTAATAAATAGCACAGCTGGGAGTTAATCTCCAAAGACCATGCTTTTTTTTAGTGCAAGTTTTTTTCATTATTTCAGAGGATTATATTCCTTATAAGAATGATGTATGCAATTATTTTAAAGAATTTCCTATCTTTGAACTCGAATTTATTTTTTTGAACAATATAACATTTTTTATTGATTTATAATCATTTTACAATGTTGTGTCAAATTCCAGTGTAGAGCACAATTTTTCAGTTATACATGAACATATATATATTCATTGTCACATTTTTTTCTCTGTGAGCTACTATGAAATCTTGTATATATTTCCCTGTGCTATACAGTATAATCTTGTTTATCTATTCTACAATTTTGAAATCGCAGTCTATCCCTTCCCAACCCCCGCCCCCTTGGCAACCACAAGTTTGTATTCTATGTCTATGAGTCTATTTCTGTTTTGTATTTATGCTTTTTTTTTTCTTTAGATTCCACATATGAGTGATCTCATATGGTATTTTTCTTTCTCTTTCTGGCTTACTTCACTTAGAATGACATTCTCCAGGAGCATCCATGTTGCTGCAAATGACATTATGTTGTTGGTTTTTATGGCTGAATAGTATTCCATTGTATAAATATACCATCTTCTTTATCCAGTCATCCGTTGATGGACATTTAGGCTGTTTCCATATCTTGGCTATTGTAAATAGTGCTGCTATGAACATTGGGGTGTTTATGTCATTTTGAAGTAGGGTTCCTTCTGGATATATGCCCAGGAGTGGGATTCCTGGGTCTTATGGTAAGTCTATTCCTAGTCTTTTGAGGAATCTCCATACTGTTTTCCACAGTGGCTGCACCAAACTGCATTCCCATCAGCAATGTAGAGGATTCCCTTTTCTCCACAGCCTCTCCAGCATTTGTCATTTGTGGACTTTTGGATGATGGCCATTCTGACTGGTGTGAGGTGATACCTCATTGTAGTTTTGATTTGCATTTCTCTGGTAATTAGTTATATTGAGCATTTTTTTTATGTTCCTATTGATCATTTGTATTTCTTTCTTGAAGAATTGCTTGTTTAGGTCTTCTGCCCATTTTTGGATTGGGTTTTTTTTTTCTTATTAAAGCATATTAGTTGCTTATATATTCTGGAGATCAAGCTTTAGTCGGTTTCCTTTGCAAAAATTTTCTCCCATTCCCTAGGTTGTAAGACTCCTAGTTTTTGACCTTTGATTGTTTCTAATTTTTACTATAAATATTTTAATTAGTAAATATTAAAAATTTATATTTTGAATTATTTTCTTGGTATAATTTCCTATGAATAAGATTCCTAGTTAAAAGTATGCATATTTTTATGACTCTTGGTAAGTATTGCCAAATTATCCAAATTTATATGCTACCAACAGTTTATGTATACCAGTTCACTTGCCAGAATTTATTCATCTAATTAATTTTTTCCATAATTCAGTAGTTATAATGTAGTATTTTATGTTTTTGACTTTGTTTTGAGGTATAACTGACATATAATGTATTAATTTCAGGTGTATGATATAATGATTCAATATTTGTATATATTGTGAAATAATCACTGCAAGAAGTCTATCTGTCACCATACACGGTTATAATATTTTTTCTTGTGATAATAACTTGGTGTTTTAATTTATATTTCTCTGATCATTATCAAGGTTAAATCTTTTCTTCACATGTTTATTATTTGTTTTTAGATTCCAAGTTTTTAAAAATTTTAATACAGAAAAATGAAACAACTGCAATTAGTGCCTCAGCTTCTTTAGCAGAGGGAAACCCTTCACAGACAATGAAACCATAAAAGAGTTTCTTCACATGTTTATTTAATAACTGTATTTCTGCTTTTTGAAAATTGTTCATGTTTTTACTTATTAGCCACAGGGAAATTGATATTCTTATCAATTTGTATATGTTTTGCATTTATCACTGATTATCACTGAGCATATCATGAGACATTTTACATAACATACAAATTAATCTTTTGCCATGTTTAATGTAAACTTTTTGATATACATTAAAAATATATATGTTAAAATGCCTTCCATGCAAAGACTTTCTATCTCACAATAATTTTTCACATAGTATGCTTCATATATACTTACTGCAGTTAGGTTGAACTCATTTTCTGCCCCTCTTTCCTTTCTTTGCGTGATGGATTCCAAAGTCACATCCCTGGAAACTCTGACAATGAACAAATTTGTCATTGGTTCTTTACAAACAAGGGAGTTTGTTGTGACAAAAATACGTGTGATGAATACAGTAGTTCTTGGCGGACTGCCAGGTGACACACCAACTTGCTTTATATGTTTACAAGGGTGATTCATCTCTCTCTCTTCTGGATTATTATCTGCCAGTTGATACCCATTATAATAAGCCCAATTCAGAAGGACTTTTGGAAGAATGAGAGAGTTTACCGCAAGCCAATACAGGATGACTTCAGGTCTTCACACATTGACTCTACATGATGGCATGAGTCAGTTTTACAATAGAAATGTTTGTTTTCACTCTGCCCAGGAGAAGCCTCTGGTGTGGATAATAGGAAAGCAAAGCAGGAAACATACATATCTTGTTTTAGTCACTTAACTACTGAGTTTGTTAAAGAGCATTTATTAAAGGCTCACTTTGACCTTTCATATTTTTTAAAAAAGAAGTATAGTCAGTTACAATTTGGCCATTTCTGGTGTACAGCATAATGCTTCAGTCATACATAGACATACATATATTAGTTTTCATACTCTTTTTCATTATAGGTTACTACAAGATATTGAATATAGTTCCCTGTGCTATACAGGAGAAATTTGTTTTTTAAAATGTATTTTATATATAGTAGTAAATATTTCCAAATCTCAGACTCCCAATTTATCCCTTCCCACCCCCTTTCCCCTGGTAACCATAAATTTGTTTACTATGTCTGTGAGTCTGTCTTTTTTTTAGATAAGTTTATTAGTGTCTTCTATTTTCCTTTTTTTTA